TAGAAATAGAATTTAGCTTTCTATAATCAATGCAGATTCGTTTATCTCCAGTTTTCTTTGCTACTATAACTACAGGAGAAGCCCAGGGACTTAACGACTTTCTGATAATTCCATTTTCTTCCATACGTTTGATTTCATTCTTGAGAAAATTAAGCTTTACTGGATCTTTGCATTTATAAGCTCCTGTGATAACTGAATCATGATTATTGGTCAAAATATTATGTTTTACTAAACTAGTTCATCCAATTTTTGTTTGGCTTAAAGCACATATATCTTCATAATTATCAATTAATTTTTGAAATGATATTTGCTGCTTGTCATCAAGAGGCCTAACTTGAAGGTCATTCTTAATTTTCCAAATATTTTCTTTAGAAGTTTCAGCAAGAAATACTGCTGGATTAGTCTCAAATTTTTCCTTAAATGCTAGAGTTAAATAAACATGATTTTCTTCATTCCAGGGGTTGTAGTCAAGGGGTAGAAGGTCAGTTTCCTCCTCATATTCTTCTTGATTGTCTGCCATATACGCTTCAATTTCGCTAAGTTCCTCTTTCTCATAATCGTCTAAAACTTGTTCTAGTTCGTCATCCTATTGATCTTAAGTAGTAGGATAACTAATAGGGGCTTCATTTGCACTAGAAGTTACAGGAACTGTAATTTTTTTTGCTAAATATCTCAACTTAATTTGGTTGGTTCTGAAATCAAGGCTAGCATGAGTTTTTCTAAACCAATCCGTTCCTAAAAGTAAGGTTTCATCTTGTGAGTCGATAACTTGTAGAGAGATAGGAATTAATAGGTATTAGATGGCAATTTGAGCTCTTTTAACTTGTCCTAATGCTCTAGTCCTTTTTCCATTAGCAGTAACTACGATAGTATTAGACTGTTCATCAATAGATAATCCTACTTTTTTCATTAACTTCCTAGTGATAATGCTGACAGCAGCTCCAGAATCTAAGATAGCAACAACAGGGTTTCCTTTAATTCTAACATAGCAGTGAACGGCTGTAGATTTATCTTCTTTCTCTTCTTCACTTTCTTGATTAGCATAATTTGTTTCTTGAATTTTTGATCTCCTCAACTCTTGAGCAAGATTACGTCTTTGATTTGAATATTGTAAAAGCTGACCAATTTTTACAGAAGAAGGCATTTGTAACAAATCTTGCATGACATTATAGGGAGCCATTTGATCGATTTAGGATGGTCCTCATTTAACTTTCTTCATTTGAGTAGGAGTAATAATTTGCAGGGTTTCTACTTCCATGAATTCATCAATGGGTTTTCTGCTTCTCAAGTTTAGTTCCCTTCTGGATTCAGATTGTCTCTTTCTTTCTGCTTCTAATTGTCGAGCAGTTTTTCTATTCGTGGTATAAGATTTATTTCATGAGAGGGCATAGACTTCTTCCTCCTTTACTTCTTCAATTTCTTCTTCTTCACTATCTGTAAAAACTTCAACATAACTGGCTTCTCTTTTATCAGATTTTCTTCGATATACTGGTTTTTCAATCATGCATCCTTTTGAATAATGTCCTTTTTCTTGGCAATGATAAATAATAATATCTTTTTTATCTCAAGCTTTTGTATCCCAAACTTTTGTAAGATTTCTATCATCTTTTGGCTTTCTTCTTTCAGGTTTTCCTTCAAGTTATATGGATAATGCATTGGAGAGAGTTGCATAGTTTAAGGATAACTGTTCTATTTGTTTGGTAAGATTATCGATAGTATTATTATTTTCACTTGGTTAAGTTGGTACAGGAGATTGCTGTTCATAATATTGACCACTTTCAACTTGTTTAGCTGCATCAATAGCTTCTTCTACATTTTTGGGATGACTAAATGCTACAAAAGGAACGATATTTTTCCTTAATACATTAAGAAAAAGTCTTACAGTATATTTATCCAGTAAGGCACTAGAAGAATCAACTTTCTTTAACAATTTTTAAATTTTCCTGTATAAAATCCACTTTTTCATAAGGCCTTTGGTGAAGTGTATTTAATTGATAGTGCCATAGATTTTTCTTTTCTTCAGTTGAGAATTTTTCTAAAAATAATGGTACAAAACTTGCAGCAGCATTACTATCTGAACTCCAGTAAGTGATAGTATCAATATTTTCTTCAAACTAATATGCAACTAGTCCATGCAGATATCCTGATACAATTTTTAGCATTCGAGCTTTAGACCAATTATTTGCTTCAGCAGCAATTTTAAAGCTTCTAATCCAATCATTAGGGTCTTCATCATCATTCCCATAGAAAGGTTTTACTGTGATAATATTACTTTTTTTTGGTATAGTATTTCCACTATATCCACCCGAACCAGATGGTGTATTTTTAATATCTTTAGCAAGATCTTTGAAACTTTTTGACATATGGTCTATGAGATTCTTTAACTGTTTATTATTCATTGTTGTTTCAATTAATTCAGAGGTTGTAGATGTAGGAGTAAAGGGTGAGATAGAAGTATTAAAAGATTTTTCAAAGCACTCAGTAGTGTAGATAACTAATAATAAATGTTGTAAAATGGAAGGTAAATCAGCAGGGTATAAGTAATAATTTAAACAATTTAATAATATGACTGCTACCTTTGTCATTTTATTACTATTATGAGCGTTTTCATTATAACTATCTAAATAAAGTTTAAATGCTGTTAAGAAGCAATTACTGAATGCTGTAGTATTATATTCATTAGAGATCCAATTCCAAAAATTTTTAAAATTCTTTTTACTATTTGATTAATAAGATTACACTGCACATAAGATGCGTCTTTTTCTAAAGGTGAATTATTTCTGTGTGCTTTTTTATGATATTCTTAGATTATTTTTAGGATGTCAAAACTAGTAGGTATATTCATATAAGTTTAATAAAGACAATTATAAATCTAGCAGGAATCACCAATTTGTTAACCCTACGCTCAACTGTCGAACTTAAGGCAACTATAACTTAATAACAGGGAGTAACGTGTGAGAAACTACTAAGTTACTGTGGAATAAGTCCTATCACAATCAACTTTGGGTTTATACTTTTAGATGAGTAAATAACTTTAACAATTTGTAAATATGATAAATACAATTGATACGTTAAAGAATTTTTAATATGTGTAGTTTAGAAAGAGGTTCCTTTATTATAGAGATTTGTATCCTTAGCAATCCTTAACCTTGGATTCTAAGTTTTAAACTCGAACTATTGAGTTATCACTGTTATCTCTGCCCTTTTACAAGGATAAATTTCTATCCTATTTATACAAAAATACAATTATAAGAAATTGCTAACTAACACTAAACTATTTTATAATGATAAAATAAATATAAAAGATAAATTATAATTTAACGATGATAATAATTTAATAAATAATAATAATAAAATATAAGAATAAAATAAATTAAATAAAAATGTTGACTAAGTTAAAAATGCTAAAGAAGTTAATAACGTTAATCATTCGTCAATCTTTGTAGCACAGTAAGATTGACTTCACATAGTATTAACAGTATAGATAATAAGTATAAATCTAATAGTATGTAGATAGTTCTCTTAATTTCATTTTGGTCTTTTAAGTTTGTTTTAACACTCTTTAAGTAAATTAAACTTTGAGTGTTAAATTTATACAATTAGATTATGTCTATTGATCAATTGGATAATTTATTATTACCTATTATATCCTAATGTATAATATATTGGCTATTTCTATGTATATTCAATTAATAATCAAAATGCAAAATATCAATAATAATTGGTTAGAAAAAGCTATTTCAAAAAGCATATTAAATATTATGAGAATAACTATTTTAGCAATATGCAAAAAATTGATCATATAAGATCTGAAAAGATCTATCACACAAAATGGAAAGCTTATGATAAAATTTTCATACTCAAATATTTTTGTAGTTTTGATGATACTACATTTAACATCGTTCATGAGGTAATTAGATTTTATCATAAACTTCTAATTAAAATAAGTTTACTAAATAAGAATCAGTAATATATCATTTTAATTAATTTATTTATAGTTAGCTTAAAATTCATCATGAAGTTGACTTTCATAATAATATAATAATTATATTATTATATTTGCTAAGCAAGGTACAATAAATATTTTAAAGATAAATTTTAAAATAATCACTTTTGTAATGCTTTAGTTCTTTTTTTTTAAAAATTAGAAAATTAATATAAGTTAGTTATCAAATATGCCAATGGTAAAATTCTAAAATTACTTCAAAGAAATTTTGATAAACTAACCTAAAGCTATAAATATAACTTATCATATCAATTATCCTATACTATAACTTATTTGCATAACAAAGGAATTGTTCATTAAGATTTGGTAATATATAAATTGACTTTCATTGTAAAATTCATAAAATTTTAAAATACTAATTTAATTATGTTGAATACCTAACATCCCAAAAACATCTTAATACATAAAAATAAGAATGAGAAATATGTATACAACTAGGGAATGATTTTAGAAACTGTTGTTAAGTCTAAAGCATAAGTGTAATAAAAAAAACTAACTAAATATTGATAAATTTTGAGTGAGTAAACAAACAAATACTGAGTATAGACATATATAGTCTTTCACTTATGCTTTGGACTAAAGAAACTAAATTATTTGATATTATTTCTTAGGTTGATCTAAAATTATATAATAAATGGAAAAATAGTAGCATTCCAATATAACTATATAAGTATGATGTATATAGTGTTAGCATAATTTTATAGAAGATATCCAGTGGTTACTCTCCTTTTAGAGATGAACTATATGATTCTAGTTTAGCTTTAGAATTATTATAAAATCATAGAGAAATTCTTATTTCAGGTATATCTAAAAAGTTTAAGAAGGTTTATATAGTAAATATATTTATTATACATAATTATAATTAATATAACATATTTTAAATATTATAATTTATTATTTTAGAATGTTAGAATTATAAAACAAGGAAATAAATAGATATGAAACATGTGGTTGCTAAATTAAAAGCAATTATTTCAAATGCAAACATAGAAAATGTTCAGATTGAATATCATAAATCACGTGAATAATAATTAATTCAAATAACTATAGTTTATTATGTGAAGTATTAATATAAAATTTTGCTCAAATGAAAAATAATGATGAAATTATTAATTTTGCAGTAAAATCGCTACAAATTAGTTGTTTTAAAATGAGTTATTATTTGTTAATTATTCTTTTCTTAATTGTTTTAACTTTATTTTCATTCATGCTTTATAAAGCTTTATAATAGTAATTAATACTTTAAACAAATACTGATATTAAATAAAAATTCATTATTTATTATAGTACCTTTGGTTTATAATTGATTTATAAAATGCTATAAATATATTTAATTTTTAACATATCAAAATTTATAATCGTAACTTATTAATAATTTTTATGATAATCTTTGCTAACTTTAACTTTAATAGCTATATTTGAACTTATTAATTATCAAATAAGCATAATTATGTGTAACATTTAAGATTACTGTAAAGTTTTCTATACAGATAAGCATTAAGTTACCGAAATTAAATAAAGTTGATATACATTAAAGTATAAAATAAATAAAATACATTCTTTGAAAAATTATAATTCTTACTGAATATAAAATTTTTATTTACTATACATAAAGACTCAATTATTAAACAACAGAGATACTTTAATAAAGATTTATCAAGAATATCAATATTTATTCAATTTGAGAATTTGTAATTGCAAATAAAATAAAAATTTATATATTTATAAGTTCATTATTTAAATATTTAACTTTAGTTTAAACATAAATTAAATTTAACAAAACAATATTTTTTCACAAGATGAATTTTTCCTGGTGGAATTTATAATAGCCAATCAATTTTGTTATAAAGCAAATACGATTCACATATGTAATATAAATTACATGATAATATTGAAAAATATGTATTTTAAAATAATTAATTTTTAACAATCATGTTATAGATTTTTTATCAATAGTATACTGTGTAATGTATTATATTCAAATTATTTAAGATTTTTTCTAAAGTTTGAGTTGACTGACTAAATCTCAAATATTTAAGTAATTTAATTTATATACTCTGTTAATATCTTAAGCACATCCCTACTTGACTCTTTCAAAATACTAAAGAAGGAATAATTAATATTTTAGTCACTGATCAATTTTGTAATGTTATAAAGCAAGTGATGAATGCAATAAAAATTTGCAAATTAGTTTTAAAATTAATTAATTCTGTTACATTTAAATTATTGCTTTTGAATTGAATTTCATGAATCTTTTCTTTCTATCAGTTATTATTATATTATATTATATATTTTAATATGAAAAACTAAATAAACATTTCAAACTATTATATAAAATCAGATTAACATAAAAATACATCTTAAATATAAATCCTTTTTATTTTTGATTCAATTTTTAATTTTTAATTATTATACATTTTGATATACAGAAATTGCGCTGCATAAAATATTATATATTTATTTAAAAAGCACTTAAATTATTTATCAATATTTTAAAA